CACAATCGCACTCACACTCGCACTCACACTCACACTCACACTCACCCTCAACCTCACACTCACACTCGCACTCACACTCACACTCACACTCGCACTCACACTCGCACTCGCACTCACACTCACACTCGCACTCGCATTCGCACTCACACTCACACTCACACTCCCACTCACACTCGCACTCACACTCACACTAACACACTCACACTCACAATCGCACTCACACTCGCACTCATACTCATACTCACACTCACACTCACCCTCACACTCACAATCACAGTCGCACTCACACTCACACACTAGCACTCACACCCGCACTCACACTCACACTCGCACTCACACTCGCACTCGCAGTCACACTCACACTCACACTCGCACTCGCATTCGCACTCACACTCACACTCACACTCGCACTCACACTCACACTAACACTCACACTCGCACTCACACTCACAATCGCACTCACACTCGCACTCGCACTCACACTCACACTCGCACTCACACTCACCCTCCACTCACACTCACAATCGCACTCACACTCACATTCACACTCACACTCACCATCAACCTCACACTCACACTCGCACTCACACTCACAATCGCACTCACACTCGCACTCACACTCGCACTCACACTCACACTCACCCTCAACCTCACACTCACACTCGCACTCACACTCACAATCGCACTCACACTCGCGCTCACACTCGGACTAGGACTCACACTCGCACTCGCATTCGCACTCACACTCGCACTCACACTCCCACTCACACTCGCACTCACACTCACACTAACACTCACACTCACACTCACAATCGCACTCACACTCGCACTCACACTCACATTCACACTCACCCTCACACTCACACTCACACTCACAGTCGCACTCACACTCACACACTAGCACTCACACCCGCACTCACACTCACACTCACACTCGCACTCACACTCGCACTCACACTCGCACTCGCACTCACACTCACACTCGCACTCACACTCACAATCGCACTCACACTCGCACTCGCACTCACACTCACACTCGCACTCACACTCACACTCGCACTCACACTCACAATCGCACTCACACTCGCATTCACACTCACACTCACCATCAACCTCACACTCACACTCGCACTCACACTCACAATCGCACTCACACTCGCACTCACACTCACACTCACCCTCAACCTCACACTCGCACTTGCACTCACACTCACACTCGCAATCACACTCACAATCACACTCACACTCACACTCGCATTCGCACTCGCACTCACACTCACACTCGCACTCACACTCACACTCGCACTCACTCACAATCGCACTCACACTCGCGCTCACACTCGGACTAGGACTCACACTCGCACTCGCATTCGCACTCACACTCGCACTCACACTCCCACTCACACTCGCACTCACACTCACACTAACACTCACACTCGCACTCACACTCACAATCGCACTCACACTCGCACTCACACACACATTCACACTCACCCTCACACTCACACTCACACTCACAGTCGCACTCACACTCACACACTAGCACTCACACCCGCACTCACACTCACACTCGCACTCACACTCGCACTCACACTCACACTCGCACTCGCATTCGCACTCACACTCGCACTCACACTCACATTCGCACTCACACTCACACACTCACACTCGCACTCACACTCGCACTCGCACTCACACTCACACTCGCACTCACACTCACAATCGCACTCACACTCGCATTCACACTCACTCTCACCATCAACCTCACACTCACACTCGCACTCACACTCACAATCGCACTCACACTCGCACTCACACTCACACTCACACTCACCCTCAACCTCACACTCACACTCGCACTCACACACTCACACTCGCAATCACACTCACAATCACACTCACACTCGCACTCGCACTCGCACTCGCACTCACACTCGCACTCACACACGGACTCACACTCGCACTCACACTCACACTCACAGTCGCACTCACACTCGCACTCGCACTCACACTCACACTCGCACTCACACTCGCACTTGCACTCGCTCTCGCACTCGCACTCACACTCACACTCACACACCCACTCGCACTCACACTCACACTCGCACTTGGACTCACACTCACACTCGCACTCGCACTCACAGTCGCACTCACACTCACAGTCGCACTCACACTCACACTCGCACTCACACTCGCATTCGCACTCGCACTCACACTCGCACTCACACTCGGACTCACACTTGCACTCACACTCACACTCACAGTCGCACTCACACTCGTACTCACACTGGCACTCACACTCACACTCGCACTCACACTCGCACTCACACTCACACTCGCACTCACACTCACAGTCACACTCACACTCGCACTCACACTCGCACTCACACTCGCACTCGCACTCACACTCGCACTCACAGTCGCACTCACACTCACACTCGCACTCACACTCGAACTCACACTGACACTCGCACTCGCACTCACACTCGCACTCACAGTCGCACTCACACTCACACTCGCACTCACACTCACACTCGCACTCACACTCACAGCACTCACACTTTCACTCGCACTAGCACTCACACTCACACTCACACAGTCGCACTCACACTGGCACTCACACTCGCACTCACACTCACACTCAGTCCCTCACAGTTCCACACTGCCTGCAGAAGGAGTTTCGAACATCTTCACCATAGACGTGTGTCAGAGGCTTGTGAGACGCAAGGGGAACACTGCAGACCTGGAAGGTGTCTCCGGGTGTATTAGAGTGGTATTCTCGGAACTTCCTGACTTAAACTGCTGCTACGTGCTCACTGCCATAAGAACGCAGCTAGTTGAAAGCTGGCTTCTAGGCATGCTTCCTTGGGAGAGCTGAGGTCAGGCCTGGACCCTGCCGCGTCCTGACTGACTGCCTGGAGTCATAGGTCCTAGCATCCTTATGTGAGGTGCTGGAAGAGGTTGTGTGAAAAGCATGTGGAAGTGACAGGCCTGCACTCACGTGTATCTGAGTCCAATACAGCGATTGCAATCGTCCTTGTTCATTTAGAGTGTAATCTAATGGATTCGAATCAAAACGAAAGTAATTGAGTAGAAAATAATAGAATCGAATAAACAATAAACGAATCGAATTGAAAAATTGAATTGAATCAAATCGATTCGAATAAAAAATGATGGAATCGAGTCGCATCAAAAATAATCGAATCCAATTGAAAATAATCGAATCGTATCGAAAATAAATGAATCAAATGGGATTGAAAAGAAAATAATCGAATCGAATAGAAAATATTCGAATCGAATCGAATCGAATATAATTGAATCTAATTGAATCGAATCCAAAATATTGAACCAAGTCGAATGCAATCTAATCGATTTGTAAAGAATCGAATCGAATCAAATCCAAAAGCATCGAAATGAATCGAAAAGAATCGAATCGAAAATAATGGCTACGATTCGAAAATAATAGAAACGAATTGAATAAAAAATGGTCGAATTAAATCGAAAATATTTGAATTGAATCGAATCCAAATATAATCAAATCAATTCGAAAATAATCAAATCGAGGGAATCCCTGGGTGGCGCAGCAGTTTAGCGCCTGCCTTTGGCCCAGGGTGTGATCCTGGAGATCCACGATCGAATCCCACGTCGGGGTCCCAGTACATGGAGCCTGCTTCTCCATCTGCCTGTGTCTCTGCCCCTCTCTCTCTCTCTCTGTGTGTGACTATCATGAATAAATAAAAATTTAAAAAAATTAAACACCAATAAAAAATAAATTTATTATGAAACAAAGAAAGAAGAAAGAAAGAAAGAAAGAAAGAAAGAAAGAAAGAAAGAAAGAAAGAGAGAAAGAGTGGCACCTGGGTGGCTCAGTCAGTTAAGCTTCTGCCTTAGGCTCAGACCATGATCCAGGTCCCAAGGCAGGCTCCCTGTTTAGCAGGGAACCTGCTTCTCCCTCTCCCTCTACCCCTCTTGCTCATGCTTTTTCTCTCCTCTCTCTCTCAAATAAATAAATAACATCTTTGAAAAAGAAACAAACAAACCCAGAATGAAGAGAAATCTCCCATGTAGAAGAATTTCAAACAATTTGTGCAGACATTCCACCCTCAAGTTGATGAGCATAGCTTCCCACTCTTATGTGTGGAATACACATAGTAACTTCCTTCTACAAGGTATATTATGAAAAACTTAAAATAATAATGATAATATAATAATAATAATATCAATAATAAAGAATCACTTTACTATGGAGAAAGCTGAGAAACACTACCTCAGCAAGATGATCAGTTCAATAACAAGACTCATAAATCATGTTGATAGTGTCTATCCTTTATATGATATAATAAAAATGGCAGGATATCTCTGTATATAATCCACAAAAACAGTTCAATCATGAGATAAACAACACACATGTCCCAACTGAGGGAAATTTTACAAAATACTCTACTTCTCACAGTGTTCCAGTTCAACAACAACAAGGAAAGGCTGAAAGACTGTCACAATCCAGAGGAACCTGAGAAAAAATAAGGACTAAAGGAATGTGATATGAGGGATGGTAACTTAGCAAAAGCTAAGGAAATCTGAATAAAGTATGGTCTTTGGTTAATGTGAATATTTTAATACTGATTCATTAGGTAATATTTGTACTGTACTAATATAAGATATCGATAATTGGAGAAATTGAGTGCCAGTGCATGAGAATTCTCTGTACTGTCTTCTCAATTTCCCTATAAATCTTTGTTTTTTTTTCTATCAATAAGATTTATTTTGAAAATTGACTTAAATGAATCAGGCTCCAAGTGTGAAGACATTTTAAGAATAGTTTAATTAACTTTTGCCTTATTCTTAAAGAGTTCCTTCGAAGGGAACAAAGTAAGAATTTTATATCACAAGGAAAGAAAAACACTTATGAACACGTTTAATGCCTCCTGAACCTGAAAAGCAGGAAAGGATAATAAATAGCAAAAATCAGACAAAAATACTTCTATTATAATAGACACCATATTGCAAGTGCATTTCAAATTAGCAATGCATAACATTTATTTCCTTGACTTTTGTCTTCCAAAGAGTTCACAGTGTTTCAGTGTCACTTGAAACAGGGGAAGAATCTCAGGGAAGAATCCTTCACATAATAATAGGACCACTGGTAATAATGTCTCTCAGTTCTTTCCAAATCCATAAAGATGCATTTCCTGATGAGTGACTGAGCTGTGAAGAAAGAGATGAGAAACCGTCAGTCTTCTGAATTACTTGTGTCAGAATATTTCAACCATAGTATACGGATATTAAATTATCCTTATTAAAAGGAAATATGTCTCAGATTGGAATCTGAGCAATCAGATGGGCAGAGAAAAAACGCTTTGACTCGCTCTTCATCTTTTAAAGACAAAGGAGAGCTTTTCTATGTACAAAGTCAGTTGTCAAGATAGCCCTAGGGAATAAGAGTCTGCAGCATGGAATCCCGCTGCACAGCCAGGACGCCCGCGCTCCAGGTCTTCCTGATCCCAAATCCTTGGGCCTGTCCCCCAACACAGGCTGCCACGCTGAGATCATTTGCAATTGCTCTCTTAGGAGCTCTGGTAAAGGGGGAACGAGCTAGATAGGACAGGACGAGACGCGTGGAGGCCGAGAAAATTAAGGCAATTCCACTTTAAGTTTTGCATTAGCACACGTCCGTCCAGCCATCCCACGCCCCTGAGAAGAAGAGCTGAAATTTACAATACTTCAGTTACAGGGGAAAAAAGTTTACAGCTTAATGTCCTAGAAAGCCCCACAGGAGCATAAGAACTGAGCCCAGGCCAAGGGCAGGAAGCCCCTATTACAATGAGAACAGAGCTCAATGCCCTTGAAGGCCCCATATCAAAATGTAAACAGAACTTGAGGAATTGCTCCAGCCCTTCCGGAGGTCCCTGAGACCAGCCCTTAAAACTAAGCTAAAACCCACCTCAGGGTCCAAGTCCCTGCTCAGCTGTGTCGGGTGTACTTGGACGCAAGCTCAAGCTTGTAAATCAACCCTCGTGTGTTTGCATCAGTGTCGGCTTCTCGGTGGTTCTCGGATTCCCAATCTTTGGCACAACAGTCTGAAATATAAAAAACAAAACCAAAAGAAGCTCAGACACAGACAGAGTGAATGCAAGGTTCTGAGAGAAGCGGCGGAGTCCCGGGGGCTTGGGGGCTCTTCTATCGGGGCCCCTGCAGATTGGGGGGCAGGATGCTCAGCCCCAGAGCCAGAGGACCCAGGGTCCCCACACGTATCCCGCCCATCAGCACCCAGTCTCACGGAGCAGCACAGTGCTGCCCACAGGAGGCCAGAAGCGCTGACGCCCAACCTGCCCTTGACCCTGCAGGTGCATCTCCCAGGCAGATGTGCACCTGACAATCAGCGCCATGGTCCATCACCAGATCCTGCACAGACCACTCTCTGCCACCAAGTTGTCGGACCACAGAGGCGGCAGAACTTCAGCTCTGTCTGGAGAGTAGGGTCTCGCTTCCTTTATACTTTGTGCTTTATTTTCATTTATTTTCTTTGATTCTTTTTTTTTAAATGCCGAATTTTAATCTTTATGTATGTATACCTTATATATTTCTTATTTTTACTTTCATGGTACTTTAATCGTGTTTCTTATTTTGGGACTTAGAATCTTTGAACAAGCAGGCCCAAATAATCTGGTATCTTTTTGGGGAGGGCAGTTGTTATTGTTTTTCTTGGTTTTTCTTTTTCTTCCTCCTTTCTTTCCTGGAAAACATAATGAGATGGAGAAATTCACCTCCATAAAATAACAAGAGGTAGTACTCACAGCCAGGAAGTTCATCAATATGCATATATGATGTCTAACTACAGTTTAAAACAATGATTATAAAGATAGCAGCTGGGGTGGAAAAAGAGCACAGAAGAAAACTAGAGAATCCCTTACTGTAGAAATAAAATAACTAAAATCTAGTCAGGCCAACATTAAAAGTCCTATAACTGAGATGCAGTCCGGTGGAAGCCTTAAAAACAAGAAAGGTTACGGACCACAGAGGAAGACTTAGGGAACTCAGCCACTTATGAAAACAATAACATTCATATCATAGGAGACTCAGAAGATGAAGAGAGAGAAAAGGTGGCCTTGCTCAGCCATTAGAAACGACAAATACCCACCATTTGCTTCAATGTGGATGGAACTGGAAGGTATTATGCTGAGTGAAGTAAGTCAATCGGAGAAGGACAAACATTGTATGTTCTCATTCATTTGGGGAATATAGATAATAGTGAAAGGGAATATAAGGGAAGGGAGAAGAAATGTGTGGGAAATATCAGAAAGGGAGACAGAACATAGAGACTCCTGACTCTGGGAAATGATCTAGGGGTGATGGAGGGGAGGAGGGCGGGGGGGGGGTGAAGGGTACAGAGAGGGGCACTTGATGGGATGAGCACTGGGTGTTATTCCGTAGGTTGGCAAATTGAACACAAAAAAAATTAATTATTTTAAAAAAAGAGAAGAAAGAAAGAAAGAAAGAAAAAGAAAGAAAAGAAAGAAGGAAAGAAGAAAGAAAGAGAAGAAAGAAAGAAAGAAGAAAGAAAGAGAAGAAAGAAAGAAAGAAAGAAAGAAAGAGAAGAAAGAAAGAAAGAGAAGAAAGAAAGAGAAGAAAGAAAGAAAGAAAGAAAGAGTGGCACCTGGGTGTCTCAGTCAGTTAAGCTTCTGCCTTAGGTTCAGACCATGATCCAGGTCCCAAGGCAGGCTCCCTGTTCAGCAGGGAACCAGCTTCTCCCTCTCCCTCTACCCTTCTGGCTCATGCTTTTTCTCTCTTCTCTCTCTCAAATAAATAAATAACGTCTTTGAAAAAGAAACAAAGAAACAAACAAACCCAGAATGAAGAGAAATCTCCCATGTAGAAGAATTTCAAACAATTTGTGCAGACATTCCACCCTCAAGTTGATGAGCATAGCTTCCAATTCTTATGTGTGGAATACACATAGTAACTTCCTTCTACAAAATATATTATGAGAAAGGTAAAATAATAATGATAATATAATAATAATAATAAAGAATCACTTTACTGGGATCCCTGGGTGGTGCAGCGGTTTGGCGCCTGCCTTTGGCCCAGGGCGCAATCCTGGAGACCCGGGATCGAATCCCACGTCGGGCTCCCGGTGCATGGAGCCTGCTTCTTCCTCTGCCTATGTCTCTGCCTCTCTCTCTTTCTCTCTCTGTGACTATCATAAATAAATAAAAATTAAAAAAAAAGAATCACTTTACTATGGAGAAAGCTGACAAACACTGCCTCAGCAAGATGATCAGATGGGTACGAAGACTGATAAATCATGTTGATAGTATCTATCCTTTATATGATATAATAAAAATGGCAGTATATCTCTGTATATAATCCACAAAAACAGTTCAGTGATGAGATAAACGACAGACATGTCCCATCTGGGGAAAATTTTACAAAATACTCTACTTCTCACAGTGTTCCAGTTCAACAACAAGGAAAGGCTGAAAGACTGTCACAATCCAGAGAAGACTAAGAAAACATGAGGACAAATGGAATGTGATATGAGGGATGGTTACTTAGCAAAAACTAAGGAAATCTGAATAAAGAATGGTCTTTGTTTAATGTGAATATTTTAATATTGATTCATTAGCTAATATTTGTACCTTACTAATATAAGATATCAATAATTGGAGAAATTGCGTGCAAGTGCATGAGAATTCTCTGTACTATCTTCTCAATTTCCCTATAAATCTTTGTTTTTTTTTCTAATCAATAAGATTTATTTTGAAAATAGACTTAAATGAATCAGGCTCCGAGTGTGAAGATATTTTAAAACTTTATTTTTTTTTAGATTTTTATTTATTCATGATAGACACAGAGAGAGAGAGAAGCAGAGACACAGGAGGAGGGAGAAGCAGGCTCCATGTCGGGAGACCGACATGGGACTCGATCCCAGGACTCCAGGATCGCGCCCTGGGCCAAAGGCAGGCGCCAAACCGCTGAGCCACCCAGGGATCCCTGTGTGAAGACATTTTAAGAATAGTTTAATTAACTTTTGCCTTAGTCTTAAAGAGTTCCTTCGATGGGAACAAAGTAAGAATTTTATATAGGAAAGAAAGAAAAACACGTATGAACACGTATAATGCCTCCTGAACCTGAAAAGCAGGAAAGGATAATAAAGAGCAAAAGTCAGACAAAAATACTTCTATTATAATAGACACCATATTGCTAGTGCATTTCAAATTATCAATGCAGGGATACCTTTTTTTTTTTTTTTTTTTTTTTTTTTTTTTTTTTTGCCTGGCGGGCGGCTTTGATTTATTGATGTTGCCTCGGGAGAGTAAACGTGTAGTTCAGGGAAGCGTCTTCCGAGGGGCAGCCAGTGGTTAAGAGGTTGCAGGGAAGCTTTGATGTCGGGGTGTCAGGCCCGCTACTTCTCTGCACCTGCTTTCTCCCCGTGGGTGTGAGGGGTGAGGGGAGGGCACCTGCCCCCTACCTCCCCTCAGCCACCCCATCTGCTGTGTCCAGCGGGTCAGCAGCAGGACAGAGAACTCCGGGAGCAGCAGAAGCTCTTCTGTCCTGGGTACAATGAGGACGTTTCTAGAAATACAAAGCACAGCAGGCCAAGAATTTGGTAAAGCTGGATAGACTTATTGCCAAAAACACACACACAAAAAAAACCTGAAGTTCAAAAGAAATCTAGGGGAAAAACGACCCGGTCGCTGCATTGACCAAATCACACTTTAGCACCACCGCTTTGCCCCACGCACAGCGGCAGAACTTGAAGGGTTACTGACGTATAAACGCTGGTGTTTGATTTCCTGTGTGTGTTGCCTCAGCATTAAGGGCATTTTACCCTTGCAGTTTTACTAAAACACTCTGAAAAATATTCCAAGCTTCATATTAACCTTACCTGTCAATGTAACGAGTTCATGAACATTACTGTATTGTCAAATTCCTACTGACAACATTGCTATAGGGGAGCTTAACTTTATAAGGAAATATATTTTGACACTGATATCTTATTAAAGTGTTCTGATCCTACCAAAAAAAAAAAAAGGTATACCCTGCCTTTGGCCCAGGGTGCGATCCTGGAGACCCAGGATCGAATCCCACGTTGGGCTCCTGGTGCATGTAGCCTGCTTCTCCCTCTGCCTATGTCTGTGCCTCTGTCTCTCTCTCTGTATGATGATCATAAATAAATAAAAATTAAAAAAACTAAAATCTTTAAAAAAATAATAAAATAATAAAATAAAATAAAATTAGCAATGCATAACATTTATTTCCTTGACATTTGTCTTCCAAAGAGTTCACAATGTTTCAGTGTCACTTGAAACAGGGGAAGAATCTCAGGGAAGAATCCTTCACATAATAATAGGACCATTGGTGATAATGTCTCTGAGTTCTTTCCAAATCCATAAAGATGCATTTCCTGATGAGTGACTGAGCTGTGAAGAAAGAGGTGAGAAACCCTCATCCCTCTGAATTACTTGTGTCAGAATATTTTAACCATAGTACTACTGATAGTAAATTATCCTTATTAACAGGAAATATGTCTCAGAATGGAATCTGAGCAATCAGATGGGCAGAGAAAAAACGCTTTGATTCGATCTTCATCATTTTTTTTATTTTTATTTTAATTTATGATAGTCACAGAGACAGAGAGGCAGAGACACAGGCAGAGGGAGAAGCAGGCTCCATGCATCGGGAGCCCGACATGGGATTCGATCCCGGGTCTCCAGGATCGCGCCCTGTGCCAAAGGCAGGCGCCAAACCACTGCGCCACCCAGGGATCCCCGATCTTCATCTTTTAAAGACAAAGGAGAGTTTTTCTATGTACAAAGTCAGTTGTCAAGATAGCCTTAGGGAATAAGAGTCTGCAGCATCCGATCCCACTGCATTGTCAGGACGCTGGGCTCCAGGTTTTCCAAATCCCAAATCCCTGGGCCGGTCCCCCAACACAAGCTGGAATGCTGAGGTCATTTGCAATTGCTCTCTTAGGAGCTCCCGTAAAGGGGGAAGGACCTAGATAGGATGGGACTGGAAGCCTGGAGGCCTAGAAAATTAAGGCCATTCCACTTTAAGTTCAGCGTTAGCACACGTCCAGCCATTCCACGCCCCTGAGAAGAAGAGCTGATATTTACATTACTTCAGTTACAGGAAAAAAACAAGAGTTTACAGTTTAATGTCCTAGAACTGAGCCCAGGCCAAGGGCAGGAAGCCCCTATTACAATGAGAACAGAGCTCAATGCCCTTGAAGGCCCCATATCAAAATGTAAACAGAACTTGAGGAATTGCTCCAGCCCTTCTGTAGGTCCCTGAGAACAGCCCTTAAAACTAAGCTAAAACCCACCTCAGGGTCCAAGTCCCTGCTCAGCTGTGTCGGGTGTACTTGGACACAGGCTCGAGTTTGTAAATCAACCCTTGTGTGTTTGCATCGGTGTCGACTCCTTAGTGGTTTCTCGGATTCAGAATCTTGGGCCCAAACCCCCATGCCCCCTCCCACCTGGACTGACCCCCTGTCCCTTCCCACCCAGGCTGACCCTCAGTCACATCCCCGCCCACAGAAGCAGGGCACAGACCCTCACACAGGTCTCACGGGCAAGATGGGCACTCCCGCCGTCCCCGGCCTCCCAGGGGAATG